TTGGCCAGGAGGCCAGCTCTAGGAAGAGTCCTGGTTGTTTCAAACATCTTCCATTAAGGGTAACAGAGACTACATGCTTCTGTGAATCTTCAATGAAGCAGAATTTTTTTCCTTAACTCCACCCCAGATGTGTGGCTTGACGCAAATTTGTCTCTGAGCTCTACAGGCAGTTCTTTTGACCTCAGGGCTCGGTTTTTGCTGTGATATGCATTATCAGCTGTTAGACCTTTTATTAAGACGTGTGTGCCTTTCCAGATCATATCCATTCAATTGAATTTGCCACAGGTTAACTTCACTCGAAGTGTAGTGACATCTACAAGCAATATGAATGCTCCTGAGCTAAATTTCAACTGTCCCAGATAAGGGTATGAATACTTACGAAATGGAATCATTTAAGTTTTTTATTTTTAATAAATTTGCGAAGATGTTACAAACCAGTTTTTTGCTCTATTATGGTGTATGGAGTATAGATTGATGTGGAAAAAAAGTAATTTAAAGCAGTTTAGCATAAGGCAGCAATATAACAAAACGTGAAAACAAAATGATGGGGTATGAATACTTTCGCAAGGCACTGTATTACCTTTCATTTGGTCAGTGATCTAAATCCTAAAACGTTCTGTTTATCTCCACCAGTTTAAATGAATCTAGGGAAAATCATTCCAGATGGTCTCAGATTGGTCTCTATCCAGCAGAACACACCCACTGTCCATTAGCTATATTATCTATACTAATATATATATATATATATATATATATATATATATTAGTGCTGTCAAGCGATTAATCGCATCCAAAATAAGTTTTTGTTTACATAATATATGTGTGTATACTGTGTATATTTATTATGTATATATTAATACAAACACATGCATGTATATATTTAAGAAAAATATGTTATGCATTATGTTAATATAAAATATAAGAATATAAATACATAAATGCATATACAGTCGTTGTCAGAATTATTGGCACCCTTGGTAAATATGATCAAAGAAGGCTGTGAAAATAAATCTGCATTGTTAATCATTTTGAGCTTTTATTTTAAAAATTCACATAAATCTAACATTTCATTGGCGAATAAGAATTTAAAATGGGAGGAAATATCATTATGACATAAATGTTTTTCTCTAAAACCCATTTTCATAATGAGATTTTCCATTTTCAATTGTTTTAGTTCAATGAAAGGTTAGATATGTGAATTTTTTTTTAATAAAAGATCAAAATAATTAACAATGCAGATTTATTTTCACAGCCTTCTTTGATCATATTTACCAAGGGTGCCAATAATTCTGACCACGACTGTACATGTAAATATTTTCAAAATATATACTGTATGTATATATATATATATATATATATATATATTTCGGATATGATTAATCACGATTAATCGTTTGACAGCACTGATATATATATACACTGTATATATATATACACAGTGCACAGCATAAATGAGTACACCCCCTCTGAATATGTTTGATTTTTTTTTTTTAAGGTTTTCTGACCCTGAGACTCAACAATTTTTTGCAATTCTCCAGCTGTATCTTTAGCCACTCAAACTCTCCTCCTCACCATGCATTAGGACGATATAGACACACGTAATCACGATTAATCGTTTGACAGCACTGATATATATATACACTGTATATATATATACACAGTGCACAGCATAAATGAGTACACCCCCTCTGAATAAATATAAAAGATGTATTTTCTTAATGATCACTAATATAATTCATGGAAAGATGGCAAAATTTAAACATTAAACATATACTTAATAAAAACAACAAAATATATGCCAATATTTTCTGTAAGATAAGTAAATTAGCCAATTTTGTTTAAATGAAGGATTACAGAAATGAGTACACCCTAGATTTAATTCAGAAAATGTATAATATTCTAGTACTTAGTATGTCCTCCAGAACTTAAAGTACACTGCTCTGACACTTCTTGGCACAGTGTACAAGTTCATGACAAATTTTCATATCTGTGCTGTTTAACTCCTGGAGGATGACCTCCTTAATGCTCTGGTCTTTAATGGGGAGTGTTGCTCTGCTCGTCTCTACAGAATCCCCCACAGCTGCTCAAGAGCGTTAAGAAAGAATCAAAGATGCCATGTATCTAAACAAGATGTCCAGGACCTACAGCAGAAATATAGGCCCACAACATTAAAAATACAGCAGCATATTTCATTGTACAAATGGGGTACTTTTTATCCCTGTGTGCACCAAACCCAACTTGAGTGTTTGTTGCTAAAATGCAAATTTTTTAGTTACATCTGACCATAGAAGCCAGTCTCATTGGAAGTTCCAGTCGTGTCTGACAACAGAATATGCTGGGGATTGTTTTTGGATAAGGGCATTTTCTTTTCTTGAAACCCTCCCAAACAACATGTTGTGTAGGTGCTGTTTGATTTTTTTTTTTTAAGGTTTTCTGACCCTGAGACTCAACAATTTTTTGCAATTCTCCAGCTGTATCTTTAGCCACTCAAACTCTCCTCCTCACCATGCATTAGGACGATATAGACACACGTCCTCTTCCAGGCAGATTTGTAACATTTATATTCCTGTGAAACAGGACGCAATGGCTGGATAATTTCATGTTCATAATCACCCCGGTATGCTCAAAACTGTAAATATGAATGGGAATATACTTCACAGACATTTTACTCATAAGAATTTCTAGGGGTGCCAATAATTGTGTCCAACGTGTATCTGAGAAAAACATTTATTTCATAATGAGATTTTCCATTTTCAATTGTTTTAGTTCAATGAAAGGTTAGATATGTGAATTTTTTTTTAATAAAAGATCAAAATAATTAACAATGCAGATTTATTTTCACAGCCTTCTTTGATCATATTTACCAAGGGTGCCAATAATTCTGACCACGAC